GGAGCAAAAATTTGCCTGAGGCCAGGTCGCAAGAAATCTCCAGTCTTCTAGCCAGAACTGCAGATGGCTTTAGCTACAACAGCAAAAAAACTTGAAGGTGGAGATCCCAGAGAAGAAGGAAACCATGTGGTGAAAAAGGCCACAAATCGAACAACTGGAGCGTTGAAGTCAGTGTATGTCAGTAGTGGGAATGGACTACAACTCTGCCTACACTGACACAGAAAAAGAAATGGTGCTACAAATGAGACCTATTTTCTCAAATCTAGCTGTTGCCACTGTGGTTTCACTGCTTAACAGCTGAGTTACCTTAGGTAAGAGTACTAGGTCTGACTGGGATGGAGTCAATTTCTTCACAGCTAGTAGGTGACCATGCTTTAGATTTGACCAAAACAGGCTAATAACACACCAGTGTTTTAGCCTCTGTTGAGAAATGCTAGCACAGCATCAAGGCTTTCTCTGTTTCTTACCCTGTGAGTGGGCTGGGGGTAGGCAGCAGGCTGAGAGGGGACACAACAGGGACTGCTGACACAAAGCAACCCAAGGGAACCACGCTCAGAGATAAGCGTGGGGGAGAGTTTTCTGAAAACAGCTGTTGCTCTGGGGCTGGCTGGTATTGCTCTGCTCGTGGGAGGTGCTGAGGGAGTACTTTTTGCATCACTTGTTTTCTTTTTATTTCTTTCACTTATTAAACCATTTATATCTTGACCCATGAGCTCGCTTGGCTTTTGCCCTCTGTTTCTCTCCCCTTTCCTGCTGGGGCACAGTGAGCGAGTGACCGGGTGGAAGCTTAGCTGCTGGCCAGTCAGTTCATCACAGCAAGCAATGTGAATGTCTGGTTGTTCCCAGCCTGGAAAATAACTTCGGAGTTATACAGGTTATATACATAATATACACATTAACCTGATGGTAAAGAGCTGGGATGCAACCTGGAGATGAATTTGGATTACCAGATTACATACTACCATCTCTTCCATTTTGAAGAGAGATTTTGAAATCTGGAAAGAGAGTACAGGAGGCTGAGACTACGGTGAAGAACATTCTGCACAATGGGACAGAGAAGGATACAGGTCCTCACTGGCACTGTCTCATGCAGAAGAGTGGCAGAGCCAGTGCATACAGTCCTCTGCTGTTCAGCTACAATTCCACTAAGTCCAGTGATTCTCAGCTTTATTTTGCCAAGGACCCTACAAACTGCAGGTCACTTCTGCTAGGCAGAGAAGGTTGAGCTTAAAAGTGATCAGATATCAGCTAAGGGCCATGAAAGTAGATTCTGCTGTGATGATGTGCATTTTCCAAAGGAAGCTAGCAAACAGTTGCAGGCTCCCTTCACATTGATTAAAATACTTAATATCACTAAGCATATGGTAGGTCCGACTTAAAGATTTATGTCCATGTCTGAGGGCAAGTAAGAGAAAGAAGGATGCATGACTTTGATTTCATCATGAACCTGAGGTTATTTCACAAACTGCAAGGGATTTCACATGATCTGCAAGGAATACACATGTGCAGTGACTCAGCTACAGGTCAGAGCCCTATACTTCAGATTAAAGCTACTGCAGTCTCATCAGTGCAGCTACAGGCAGGAGGCCCTACTTTAATCCTTCATGGCCTAAGCAGAAAGCTGTATTGAAATAATGGACTGAATGGCAGCTGTGGATATTTAGGTTATGTGTCAGGGATGAAAATTCTTTCTGTTGGCAAGGACAATAAAACAACCCAAGGCAATGTGAAAGCTAGACATCAGACATAGCACTCCCTCTGCTCAAAATGATGGACTAGTCTCTTTCAGCTCATTTTTCTATGACTCGATGAGTGACAAAAACATCAGATGTGAATATTTTTCATAGCCCCCCCCGAAGCCAGAAGAAGTGCGCTTTCGTTATTTATTTTGCTTCCTATTTCATTCTCAAAGTTTATATGTTTAAGAGAAGAAACTGTGCTTTAAATATGGCCTGTAAAGGAACATACATTTGCAAAGGTCTAAAAACACACCTGAAGACCCTGTTAGTCATGCAGAACAGAGTGCGGATGTTTGTCTAAGTGGACATTTGCTCAACCTGGCATGCAGGATTATTTACAATAGTGTTCCTTGACCTGCGATCCAAGGGAGCATAGAGGCCCAAAAAACCTCAGGTGGTCCACAAGCAAATAGCACAAGCATGAACAAGCAAATGCACATCCTCTGGACACTGGTAGTATTTTGCAGATGGTGCTTGAGGACCCCCTCCAAATCCCTGCGTGCTCTTCCCAGTTTAACTGGTTCTCTGAGTATGAGTGGTTATAAAGCAGTGACCCAAAGGGCCCCTGATAACACCTCCAGCCATCCACACCAGGAAAATGAAAAATAGCACTGCAGAGGAAGAGGCAGACAATAGAGATTTCTCTGTTCTTCGTATTTGATACAAAAGAGATGAGCAGAACTGGATCATAATCTGGAGCAGATAGGCTCCAGGGGTTTCATTGGAAGTGAGTGCCTTGTGACTATATAACTGCTTATCATTCAGGAGATCTGGAGATCCTGTCTGGACTTCCTTCTCTTCTCTCCTACCTCACACAAAAAGACAAAATCCGGAAGACTGCAGAATGTCAGATTTGCAGATCATGGGAAGAGAGCATTGTAAAGAGAAAGTGACCTCTCAATAGGAAAAGAATACACACTCCACTGATCAGGCTGGTAAGAGAAGCCAGATTACATAAGCAACCAAAAGCACATTCAGCACAAAAGCATGGTATCGAGCACAACATCAACCAAAGCAGAAGTTGTAAGAAGATGACCCTTTTCAGCTGTTTATGTGCTAATTACAAGCATCTATAAAAATGGATAAAACCTTTGTCTGCAGAGTAGCATTGCTAATGACTGGAAACTAATGGCTAAATTTTGCTTATTATAATCTCAAAAAGGAATGGTTGCAATGAATTTAAGATGTTCAGTTGAAAGAGGGGAATTGACTCTTATGTCACATGTCCTATGTGTCACAAACAACGTCTGTTTGCGTGGCCAAGAACTTGAAAGTAATCTTGGATATTTATGCATCAAGATACATTCAGGTTGAAGTATTACCTGGAATGTTGCAGATAGCTGAAATCACAGAACAGGAGGGAACAACTGCCTTCTTCAGTGCTTCTTGCCAGTAAGCTGACCCTTGTCAGTGAGTCATATACAATACGGGCCTTGCAGCACCAAGGGGAATGGAGAACTCAGAATTGTGACCACAGCTTCAACAGCAAAATCACACAGCACACTGCTAAATCCCTTGGTCACCCTACCACATCAAGCACAGCGGGACTTGCTCTCTGCCCCGGACAGGGAAAGCAACACGCAGGAACAGCAGTGTTTGCACAAGTGCAGTGTCATGCTGGCCATATGACTTAGATGTATGTTAACAGAGGAACTAGACAATTCCTACTGTAAATCTTGTCTCAGTAGAGAACAAATGATCACAAACCAGAAGGTTACTTGTTTACACTGAAAAGGACTGATGCTTTCTTTGCAAATAACTAACACAATCTGCAATCAAATCCAGACCAGTAAAATTTTAGACAGTATATGAACACACACTGCTCATCTATACATAAATTAAAAACAATGTATGCTTCCTGAGAGGCATTATCATAAACTCTAGTAAGTGAGAGTCAAATCAGGCTGGAGACAAAATTTAAAGAAAATTGTTTATGTCTGCATATGGTTTAAGACCTTTCCTAAATATCTAAAATGTTACAACCATGAAAAGAAAACTATACTAGATAAAAATAACATACAATGAAAAATCCAACAGCTGGTCTTACCAGGGAAGTGAAAAAATATGTTATATATAAAATTAAAACACAAAGAAGAAAAGATAATAACAAGATAATATAAAGATTACATAAAGGACGCAAGAAGGTACTAGGAAAAAATGAAAACAGATTTGTGATTTTTCATTTTTATAAGAAGATTATAAAAGATGGTTCCCAAACAATAAAAGTGGTAGAGTAATTTCTAACAATATGTCAGAGGCAGAAGTTATTTAGTAAATATTTCTGATTAGCACACAGGTAAAAGTCCAGGTATTACTTTCATGATCATGACAAAAAAACTTCCCACTACAGTAGCACCTAGCAGTGGTACAAGATTCTGGGCGTTTCAAATTCATTGTCTCAGAAGCTTTTGGAGAGCTAGCTTTTGAGCTACTGCTGCTGCTTCTAAAGTAGTTCTGGGCTGCTGGGGAAGTACTGGGGGCAAGAAGGTGGCTCATGCTGGGTCAGTGTTTAAGAAGGAAAAAAGGTAATTACAGGCCAGTTGGCTTGTTTCCAGTATTTTGTAGAGGTTAAAAACACAGGACTAGATTAATAATATATATATATGCTTTAACAAAGGTCTATAATTAAAGTCAATCAACTTGGCTTTAAGAAAAACAGACCCTGTCAAACTAATCCGATGTAATTTCATACAAACATTACAAGTTCACATGATGAAGGCAGTGCTGCTGACAGTATTAGAAGTCTAAGTCATTTGACTCAATCTGCAGAATATCAAAGAAATTGAATGCTTTGTAGTTCATGTGGAATTTGCTCCATCCATTCATCCATTCAGAGCAGGTGTCCATATATGGAGAGTAATATGTGCGGTCATGCAAAAAAAGTCAAATATATTTTATGATGAAGTCATGTCTGAATCCACAGTCATATTAGATGTATTAAGAAGGTGATAAATGAAAGAAGTCCAAGTGTAACTGTAAATGGGAAACTTTTAGAGATGGATTCCTATTGGCTTCCCACAGGAACTAGTGACCATTTATTTGCTATTCAACAGCCTTATCAGCGACATGGATTAAAGTTAAGTAATTACAGTTAGATAACAAGAATGGGGACAGCAAAAAAAACAACAAACAAACAAAAGTACAAGTCTGAGACAGAGCAAGAGGAGGATCACAAAAATGGGAGTGAGCAACCAGTATAGGTGTTAATATGGCCAAGTGTAAGACCACTGTATTAGAAAAAATAATAGAGGCCATACTTACAGGATGAGAGGGAGAGAGAGGACTCTATCCTCTGAAGCAGAGACTAAATATGAGACCAGGCGTCCTGGTGGGTGATCAGCTGAACATGGATTCCCAATGAAACGCTGTGGCCAAAAGGGCTAATGTAAGCCTCAGCTGTAGAAACAAATGAAAAAGAAAAGATGAGTATGTAGGTTATAGTAACTCTGTATTTGACTCTTGTTCTTCTTCTACTTGAATAACGTAGCAGGTTCTGCCACTTCATTTTTTCAAATAAAGTGTTGAAAAAAATGAAGCATGTCCAGAAGAAAATGACTAAAGCACTGAAAACAATGAAGAGCAGAAGGTTTCATTATAATCAAAAAAGGTTAAAGGAAAATGTGTTATTTTGTTCACAGCATAGGCGTATTCATCTGGGAAATAAATTTGATAACTGTAGAGTCTATAGCAAAAGTGGAAAACTCAGTGGAACTGGAAACTAATCCAATCCAGACTGCAGGGGCTTTTTTTTTTTTTTTTACTTTTCTTTTAATACTAATGATCACTAATGATAGGGGTCGTTAACCACTAATTAACCCTTCATATCAGATGTGATGTACTGTCTACCTCTGCCAGGTTGTGAAGATGCTCATGTTTGGTTTAAGGATGAACATCCACTCAGCTATGGTTAGCGGGACCTCTAGTAGGTATTTATAGCCCACAAAATATTGGAGGTCAGGGGAACAATCACAGCATCAGTGTCCTGTGTTTTCAGTAAAAAAAGTGCTCTCTCCTCTTAGGAATCCTGACAGCCTTCCTGCTCATGGCACACTGAATGACTGTAGGGAAAACTCAGTCTCCTGGGGCTGAGGTTCTGTCTTAGTATGGATGGCACTCATCCCTTTATAGGATCTGCAGACAGTTCTCTCTGGATTGCCACCACTTGACTCGACACAATACTTCACTGCACAAAGTTGCTGACAACTGAGATGACAAGGAAGCGACTTTCTGGAAATGGAAGAAGGTTTTACAGCTCTCTAACATCTCTCTGTAGATGAAACCTGCTAGCCCTTCTTTCAGCAAGTCACTTGATCCACTGTCTGTTGCTTACAGATAGATCCTACTCCACAGCCAAAGAAGGTGACCTCAGGAAGGACTCTTCTCTATCCTGTAGATAGTTCCTCTCCCAGCCTCATCCTTTCAGGATGAACTTAAGAACCAGCTACCTTCTTCAGGAAACCAGCTAGTGTCTCTGAGCAGGCACCCCCTTCAGGACATGCATACCTCCTTTCCTATCACTTGCTGAGGGACCTGCCTGCCACCAAGGAAACTTCTGCTGCTGTGTTCTCAGGCTGGATAATGGCAGATGGGCTCCTAAGGACCTTGTGCTCTGTGGAGGGCAGTGGCTATTCAATTTGCTTCTAGTACAGCTTGTCAATATCTAGATTTGGTTTTTAAGGACATAGAACAAGGTCTTTGTTCATGCTGTCTGTCTTTACCCAGGCCTTTGGCCAAAAATATTAATACCATCAATGTGTGGGGGGATAAAGGCTGGGGAATGTTTGATTTGTGCCAGCTTATTTTAAGCTTCTGGGATGAACCCATCTATGATCGAATGCTGCAAAGTACATTCTGCAAATAATTTCAGTTACTTGAACTCAAACTTAGTTCACATATGCTGCTGTGAAGATTTTAAAGGCATTACATTATATAAAAATTTCATTACAGTTAATTATTCATGACTCTACAGCAAAAACAGCACAGTAAAGTTGTACTACTAGGTTACAAATACAGAGGGAGCATCCCATCTTATGTAAACTGGCCAAAGTACAGAACTTCTATGGAGTGAACTAAACTAAAAAAGCTTGTGAAAATGTTAGAGAAAAAAGTTCCATCCAAATGTGATATTTATGTACCTATATGCACATGCATTCACACACATGCCACCACCAAACCAACTCTGCTAAACCTGGTAATCCTATCAACAGACCTCAAGGCTCAAAAACGAATGTGTGATTGGCAATTCTTTGTTCACTGAAGAGCAAAAATTTTGGAAAAGTTCATCTTGATCAAGATTGCAGAGCTTCTAACAGAAGATGAATCAAAGCTGGATAAAGTACAGTCTGAATAGTGCATTTTTATACCTTAATGTTTGCCGTCCTCCCACATGCATTTTTCTCCCCCTTTCCTCTGGCACATCCCCATCTACATCCCACAGTACCAGGATGTCCTGTTAAGCAGTTGTGCAAGCGTGTTTTTTAGGCCTTCTGAAAGCTTGCTTATGTGAAAAATGTATTATTTTTCCACTTAGACTACAAACATCACATAGCTAGAATCCACAAATTTACTTCAAAAGACAGTAGATGTGGCTAATTCCTAAACATAAATGCATAGAGACTAGTAGCAAGTATCTTTAACATATGGACTGAACAAAAACCTTTTTGAAATATTAAAGTATAAGCCAAATGCTGGGCTTGTCCTTTTACTCCAGACACACAGAGAGAGAATTAAATGGAAGAAGTGAGACTAACGATTTGCCTCTGTAACTCACCCAGGCCAGACACAGCGATGCTATGGAAGTTAATGCAATGAACCCCAGAAGTGTCACTTTCACGAATCTCAAGAGGCATCATTGACCTGAAGCTGGCTGCAGTTTCTGCCCCAATTCCAGTTTAATGTATTCCAGTTTGACCCTCAAGCGACAGTGCTGCCAGAGAACACGCTAAGAAACAAATGCAGGCAATTGCTTTGACATAATTGTTTTGGACACAGCCAGATCGAAAGTGCTGATGTAAACAGAGACTAGAAAAGGGTTTTACCAGGTCTCCTCTCCTTACCTAAAACCCAGCCAAGCACGTGCTCACCTCTCAGCAGCAAAACTGACACATCTCACTAAGAAATGGATAAACAATTCCAAAGTGTCATATGTATATATATATATACACACAGCATTTGATTTATAGCTTTAACTTATATGATTTCTATATATAATTTGTTCTTTGTGCATGACACACATCTGTTCCATGGATTAAGTTAATTTTAAATTCCAGGAACAGAATAAGTCAGTCCTTTATGATCATAGGACATTGAAAAGAGTCACAACACAGCTCCCTCCCCTTAAAGCAAATTGTTTTTCTTCCTTTTCTCTCATTTTTCCAAACTTTGAGGGGCTGCATGGACCTGCTTTCAACACTATGGTCAGGATGACACATTTCTGCCCTACCACTCATTAAAACACCCGAGCTTACACAACTTTGAAGCTGCATAGTTTGGTGCTGGAGAACAATGCTTATTTCTTTGCACAGGGACTGCAAGAACAGAAGCTGGGAATATTGATGAATTATGGTATGAATTACGGTCTATCTATGGTAGACCAAGGAAGTTTGAGAATAAAAGACTCAACTAACTGGTCACAGATGCTCCTGAAAAAAATTATGTGTGACTGACAAAGAGAAAAGAACACACAGCAATGGTGTAGGTTTTTGGAACTCATAAGTGAAAACACCAAGGTGGAACATGGTTCTTCCCTCAGATTTATGCAATGAATACAGCACAAAGGAGCAAATCCCATGCTGATCTTCCCCTCTCTCTTTTACCTCAATTCCTAAGATAGGTTTCCACCTTTGCTACTCTGTTTTCCTTTTCTCCCATTCCTCCACCTCCCCATCAGTCAGTTCAGGCAGATTACCTGTAATTATATCACATAAAACCAGATGAGATTCTCAAGGCTTCCCCTTTCTATGTACCCAGAGTACTTCCAGCAGAGAAAGTCTTCTGAAAAAATTGATTCTCACTTCCCTTTTCTGCAGTTATTTGTGTGGGTCACTCTATCACAATAGAAGTCTGCATCCAACCATGATAGAGACAGATAAAAATTATAGTTTTGAACATCCCTAAGAAACAAGGTCTTAGAAAGATGAACGAGCACGTATTACAGCCACTAAATTATTTGATTGATCCTGGGCATAAAAACCAGCCTCGTGCAAATAAAAAAAGGCTCCTGTCCTTCATCTCTCACCCTTTGTAGGATCTGCCACCACAATATGGCCATGAAGTATGATCCACAGCTTGCCTGATCATCGGAGGCTAAAGGGCCTTTTCAGGTACGCTGGGACTTACGTAAGTGTTTTGCTGTCCAGGGAATTAGGATTTTAAGCTCATCATCATCAGGAGACTTTAGTCACTGTAATGTTATGGTGTCCTGCCCCTTGTGCAGGAAAGAAAATTTTGGATCAGCTACAGCAGAGTCAGATGACAAAAGCTGATCAAAAGTCAGACTGAATGTCCTTAGGAATTCCTGGAATTTCTCACGCTGTTGTGCTAATTTTTAAAGCATTTGTATAGGATGCAAAAGTATGGTTGAAACATTTTCCTAAAACCAGGAATGAGAAAAGCACTTTAATCAAAATAAAAGTTTTCTCGTATTAAATTGGATTCCCACCTCTGTGGCTGCTCTTGCAGTGCAATGACAGGGCAGTTAGCACAGCTTGGATTTAATAGCACCGTCAGACAACTTGAGGAATAGTGTTACAAACCAGCATTATTCTAGGCAGAGATAAATAAAGTATCCGCGCTGCAGAATTAAAGCACAAGGAATAGAGAGGATAAAATACGCATGCAATTTTGTCTAGATACACAGATGATAAAAAAAAGAAAAAAAAGAATCAAATGAACCCGTATCATTATGCTGCACGACGAGTCGAGGTTTGTAATTCCTCCCATAGTGCAAAGCTGCAGTTGCTGACAGTCACAGCAGTTATCAGGCAGTGCATGCTCACCGTCTTTTTGGAGCACTGCAGAGCTGCTCAGCTGCACGCTTTGAATGCTTCCTTAAACATGCTGGTCTAATTGACTTCCACTTTTTAGTGACAGTGGATTATCAGTTATTTGGATGCTGCAGGCTCTTGCAGTATTTTTACAGCAGGAAATGTTTATTCCATATGTAAGAATACTGCACTTACAAGAAATAATGCAGGAAAGGAAAGAGATCTAATTTCTATTCTGCTTCCTTCCTTCTGCAGCATGCCGCATTGAGGTGTTTGTTCCAAAACACTGATACTAGTTCAAGGCCAAGATTTTATTTACCCTGATCCTACAAAACAAGCCCGCAGGTAAATCATGTTCAAGCATCTCAAGCTGTTGTACTGCACTCACATTAGTGTGATTTAGGTAAGTGG